CCCAACTTCCCCTTTCTGCTTATCGACTAACCCAGCGAATTCATAAGAATTCCTTATTTAAAGCTGCCACAACTCAGAGAATTGCTTTATTTCTTGATAGATATATCATAATCTCTTACGCATGACGTCACCCTCATTATTAGCAATACTTCTGAATAGGAATGCTGTCTCGATAGCTAATTTGAAAACAAATTTTTCCACATACTAGTATACGAATCGTAAAGATTCTTGAAAATCGTTGTCTCAATGCCATCATGAAGAATTTTAAAGAGCCTACGACGATGAGCCGAATTATACCTAGTCATTTGAGTATTCACTAATAACGAAATTGACATAAAAATCCGAAGAGTAAACTCGGATGCATTTAAAGAACATCAATTTAATAGCTATTGATGTAAGAAGCACAAGCTGAATGTGAAGTTGGAAGGACTAAAACTCCACCACTTCAGGGTAAGCATAAATTAGCGGGAAACCTATAGAAAATACACAGCGTCGGAGATAAAAAATTTTCCGGAAATGTCTTCCAGCTCACCTAGCCGATAAAAATTATTCAAAAGATCCATCCCCTGGGATGAAGTCTATCCATCTTAACATTACGCGTTGGAAATTGTTTTAAAGAGCCCTAGTAACAAATAATGAGAAAAATAAGCCAAAAGCTCAATCGGGATGTATCAAACCCTCTTTGATATTTGTTATCACACAGTATAAACAGGCGCTTTAAATGATATAAAAAAGTAAATGGTCTTTGTATGAAATAATTGGTGTCTGGAAAGAAGAAACTGGACAATGATAAAAGTTAACGAATGAAAAATGGGAAAATATGGCCAGTGTGATCGGATTGATCGAAGAGAAATGTAAAAGCCTTTCGCAGAAGAAAGAAATGTAAGCCCTGACAATGAATGGCACAAAAGGAAATCATTAGCACTAGAAGGCAAATAATCCTGGATGTAACCATAGAAGAGACGAATCTAAGCAGATGCGGAATTCACAAAGCGGAGCATCATCATCGCAGGTTTACTCAGAAAATGTGAAAAAGTGCAGATGCGGCAAAACAAGGCATATCGTCACACGCATTCAACATACTTCCCCAATGAGGAAAGAGAAGCAACAATGAAGCATCCCACAACATGTACAGAGGAGATAACGTGACATTAGGACAATTAGCTATAGATACATTATACACGCATGCATATAAATATATTTAACAAAAGCATATTGAGCACAGGATGAATGTGGTCGATTTGTAGATCAGACAAACCGTTTAGTTAAGAGGGCACTCTGCATTAGTTTCGTAAGGAAAGACATCAAGAAAAAATAAGTACAAAAGGCATACTAACAGAAAGAAAAATGAGTGGTAAACTAAACAAAGATGCGAGAGCACATGAGGCGAGCGTTCCAGGCGGGCAGTCTATAAGTATATATGATACTAAATGCGTGTGAGTCTATTAGTCAGCAGCTTCTATGGTCGCTTCAACTTGCCGTTGCGAAAAAAGAAGGAGTACCATAGCCCGGTTATGACATAAACGGAAAAAATCTTGGGCGCCTGAGCTCTGACATGGTGAGAAAGAAGCATGGGCATGGCCGAGTGATGAAATAAGGATATTCTGGCAAAATCTGTGATAGCCAGCTTCAATAAAATCTAACAATTTTTCCGACAATGACCCTAGCCAACAAATCCAAGGCCTTTTGATGAATAATATCTTGGTCATTGCCTTAAATAAAGCATGAGACAAGTCATTTGGCATGATAAAGGACTGTGGTCAGAAGCTAACTGACGTCTTCGCAGGCGTAGTAGGGATTAGGATAAGATAATCCTCATAAAAAATATATCCTGATGTTCTCCCTTATGGCAAGAATAAATTACACCTTCAGGTGCAGTGCCAACCGAAAAACTCAGATGGGAGAAAACGAGGACCAAATAAAAAGATAAGTTCAGTAGAAGTAGTGAAAGGGAGAGAAACTCACAGCCAAAAACTGTCGCATTGTTAATATGGGCGCAATCATAAATAAGCAATAAATAAAAGGTGATTTAAACCCCCTGACGACTAAAGCAATTGCTCATCTTGATTAAATGAATGTGATAGGATGATGAAAAGCTATGGGATCAGAACTGAGATAAAAAGTAAAATAGTACGATTAAAATTTTACAAATCGAGTGGCAAGGATGAAAGGGACAAGAATGCCTCGGGACAACAATTAACATTTGGCAAGCGCATGTATGAGGAGATTTCACGCATTAAATGCTAGAAAAGAAAAATCCATGAGTAACATAATTCGGTCGTCCTGTTTAAGAAACCAATAAATATACAAAGGAAAGGTTAAAAAGACAATAAGGAGAAAATGAGGAATGAAAAAATTAATAAGAACGGTAATTAACGGAAGGTCTTGATGGGGGAATAAGCCGATAATCAGGAAGGCGCAGAAGGTAAGATGGCAATACTCGATAGACTATAGAAACACAGCTGACAAGAGGGAGTGAGAGAGAGTAAGAATAGAGCATATATGAAAGTTTTCCTGTAAAAGACGGAAGTAAAGCATCTGAAATGTGAAAAAGCAAAGCTGACGTGTAAAACATAAAAATGAATAAATTGGGACAAGGATGGTAGCAATACAAAGGCTATCGAGAAAAACAAACCCCAACTGTTTTTAATGATGACATGGAGATTAGGGCTCAAGGCAGACGAGCATAGAGAAAAAAAAGGGTCAGAGTGCAAGAATTTTCAATGCAAGTAGATATTATTTACGAAGGATAATACGAAAGACATTAGCTTCATATGGAGGCAAGTGGCAGAGAAATTGACGAATATAAGAATATGATTAAGACCAAACTTTAAAATCAAGTCGAAGATACTTCACACACACAAGCATACTAATATTAATAATATATAAATATTGGTATGCTTGCGTTGATAGATGTGTACCGGTAAGAAAATAATTTTCGGATTCATAAGTGATCTTTTATATATTCGGAGAGAGGGGGCAGGACTAATAGATTCATTAGCAGAGATACGCCCCTGGCATAGTTAAGCCAAGCAAAGCATTAAAGACAGACAATTTGATGGCTAGCCAGGACCTTGGAGGAAGATACATGTGGCACCACTTTGTGCCGGTTGTGCCATCAGACCAGCGGTGGCAAGAGTGAAGTGCGGCTGCTGCTGCTGCTGGAGTAGAGTTGGAGTCAAGTGGTGACCGGCCAGCTGGTGGGTAGATTCATTTCGCTCAAGAGTTGTGAGAGATTGTACAGCAGGTGCTAATCCACTTGCCTGACCCGCTGCCTCGGATGCCAATGAATTACCAACAGGGTAAGCGGTTAGTTGAAAAGGAGTCTGAAAATGCGTTTGCATTTGTGTCTGAATGTGGGCATGGGAATGCGCGTGTGGGACATTTTGGGCATGGACGTGCGTGTGTGCCTGAACATATGAGGCCTGTCGGAGAGAGTCGTTAAGATTGCCCGGAAAGTTGTTTATGAGACTATGCTGCTGATGCATCTGATGCTGCTGGCGATTTTGTTGCTGGCGCTGTTGCAGAAGAGCATTCACATCATTCGCCGTCAAGAGGGCGGCAGCGTGAACACCAGGGCTTGAAATCACATAACCAGGAGAAGCAGGAGCACTGGAGCAACCGGGGTTAATGGAAGAGAAAGATAGGGCGGGAACGCCTACCGGGCCAATAGATGAAATTGGGCTTGATGATAGTTGGCGCATCGCTGCCGTGGAATCAGACGAATCAGTGGTATGTTGTTGTTGTAGATGAGCTGGGTCAGACAGCTGCTGCTGCGGCCCAGCTACAGATGCATGTATCGTTGCTGCGGCCGCTTTCATTGCACTAGAAACCGCTGGGTCAGATGTCGTATACACGGAGCATGTTGGCGTACCCAGAGAACCTACATTGCCTGGCGCAAGGGCACAGGCAGGGTGAACAGCCAAAGTACAGGGAACCAGAGCACGAGAGCTAGCCATAAGAGGGGGTTGTAAGGCAATTTGGGCCCCATTAGAGCCAGTAGTAGTGGCCGTTGTCGTGCTGATCGTACTAGCCGCGGTCGTAGTGGCCGAATGATGAGTGAGGGAGGCAGCAGCTGCTGAGTTGGACACAAAATGGGGCAGTCGAATGGTGAATTGTGGCTGATTGTTGGAGCAAGTGGAGGTTGCATGCAGGGGTGAAAGGATCGCGAATGTAGAGGGACTAGCCATCATTGGCTGGGCCTGCCCGACAACCTGAAAGAGAATCAAAGTACACATTACGCTTGAGCATAGCAGTAATAAAAATGTTATATGAGCGAAGCCCAAGCAAGCTATTATTTTTAAATCCCAAAACGCTGGAGTAACGATACAGTCAGAAGCGTTAGCATATATTTTAAACTGAACCAAGATCGGTACTATGTAAAATAAAGCGAGAAAATTTTTCAGAACCAAACAATATATTAGGGCTCTACTGAAAGATATGGCTTTTTGATAAAACCAATTAACAAATTTTGAGGCTAACAAGTTCAATTCTACTTAAATACTCAAAGAGGGCTGCTGGTCATATCAAAAGATAAATGTGCCACTGCTGCATGGACAATATATGATGAGCAAATTGACTTGTAGGCGTGGTAGCAGGTAAATTCGTAAGGTTCCATATAGATCACCTGAAAGTAAAAAATTTCACAAGACAAAAAATAGCCTACCGTGAATATAAAAGGCCCCAATCTAAGGAAGCCTCAAGGGCTCTTTATCAGTCATCCAATGACAGCGTCTAGAGTACTTTCAAGACCCAATAAGCAGTAAACGTGAAAATTTTCGATCACGCAAACAGGCAAACTGGCTGGTAGCTTTGCACGTAAATATTATCCTCCAATCTGATATAGAAGAGTTATCTGTCTATTCATGATCTGATTATAATCAATACCTTTCCAGTAAATTGATGATAAAATATTGATATGGAATGAATATAAGGAATAAAATTTAAATATACAAT